CGCCACCCAATACCCAATATATGCCAGTTAAACGTAATAATAAAGACAAATTCCCGAGAATTCCACTCAGTGCCAGAATGCCAGCAAGTTGCCAGTTGCCAGCAGAATGGAGACGCTGATCAGTTCAAAGTTCCAATCCTTTCCCACAAGCCAAGAGAAAATCCATCACATCTAAGAGCCACTGTTTCAGGGGCGTTTTGAGGTGATGTTGAAATTAATGGTCCGCCGCATGGGACTGAAGCTTAGCTTTTCTCCAGTGGGTTCGATCGATCGTGTTGCAGATCCATAAATCAAAATGGCTGGGATCAACTTTAATGGGACTGATCAATTAATTTAAGTTTAAGTTTAAAAGCTTAGGGAATATTCTCTCTGACTTGCAGTGAAACTAGCGATAGATCTGTCACCAGTATTTCATTATTGGCTAATAACGTATCAAAAAACATGCACAAGTATCTGCTGAGTATCTGGCCCCAGATGACCCAAATCGGAGTGCAACTTCAAAGAATATTTACGACAAGAACAATTAAATGCAGTTTTATGCTCTGCACCGAGTAGTGATGGCCGGATGACACGGCGACGCAACTGCGACTCTTTCCCAGAAGGGAAATCCTTTCGCATGTCAACTGACAATATTGTTCCAGCACTCCGAGCTGAACTCTTAGCTGCAGCGGGGGCAAAACTAAATATAAAGCCGCAGGCACTGTGCGGGCCACTCACCGTCACTTCCAGTGTTTGCTTTCAGGGAAATTATACGAGTGTACCACACGTACACGTACCCGTATATATTTTTTGTTGATGACAAGCAGAGCTCCAATTAAATTTAATAGCTGCAGAGCGAACATAAAATTGAGCCACCAACGTGGAGAACCTTTGCGCTAGCCTTTTGTGTCCGCTGCTGGGGCAGGGGGTAGGTCGTAAACACATTTGATTTGGATTTCGGGAAAGACTCCTCCTCCGGCACGGAAAGACTTATTTGACGGACCACAAGCCGTTTGCGCCGCTGTTGCTTTGTCGGATTGCTGATTGAATTGTCACCTCAGTTTAATGACACACTACCGACTAGCGACTACCGACTACCGACTAGCGACGCCGCCACTTCCCGATGTCCGACATATCTTTCACACAAGCCGCCACTGCCATTGCCGCCACTGCCACTGCCGCTGGTTTGATGTTTCAGCGCTGAGGGAATCATATGCCACTTGGCTGGCAGAAGGCGCCACCAATGCCGATGACATATGTGCGCCTGTACGTACGAATATACGTACGGCAGCGACTGTCAAAGGTGTCAGACGTTTTATTGCCACTGCCAGCGACGACCTGTTGAAAAGTTCATGGTCATGTGGGGGCTATGAAGGGAATTGCCAATTGCCTTTCTGCCTTTCTGCCATTTGGGCAGACTTTGAAGATTGTCCTGTTAAAGTTTTTAATGAGTTTGTTTTGATTTGCAGCAAGAGGATTTAATTTGAAATATATACAGGAACCTCGGCTACTTTATTGCTTCTATTGCTTATGCAAAGAAAGTGCGAGAGTATTTATTTGTTTAGCAATAAAACGTTCAAAGTGTAGCACTCCCAGGACCAAGTCTTAAAAAATAAACGAAGCTTCCTGCCCATGTTTGGGTACACACGTGAGATTGATATTGTCCATGGGTTGCACATGTTTCTAGGTACAGCGAGCTAATGGTGGCTGGTGGGGGGGGTATATGGGCTTGTCCGGTTTGTATCCAAAGTTTAATTAAATTTCTGGCATACGACATCAGCAATCAAGCACTGAACTGGCTACTACACATGGCATAGGGTTAGGGTTTGGAGTCGGGGTTGTGGCTGGGGTTGGGGTTGGGGTTCGGGTTAGGCGTGAGGCGTGAGAGGATGCACAGTCATGGACATGACTTTGTGTAAGAGTGTAAGCGGAGAGAGGGGTACATGCACATTTGAGTTCAGTTAAATAGTCCACCTGGGCCATGGCCAGCCGCCTGCCTTCGTCAGTTTTCGAGGCTGCTGCTGCTGCGGCTGCTGCTGTTAGGCGTTTAGCATGAGTTGATGGAATTCCCTATGTATGGTTCCCTATATGGTAGGCGCATATATCCTCATGCATGATACTCATATGTACATGCATAGGTATATTCAGAACGCCAGTCGCTGCCAGTCGCTGCTAATATTGTAGCAGTAGCGGCTTATAAAATGTTACAAGTTTTGTATTAATTAAAAACTTTAACTCTGGTGTGTGTGAGTGTGTGTGTGTACTTTCACCGAGGCATGCCTCGTATTTTCGTTGTCCGTTGTTGTTCCTTCCCCGATTTCATCCAGGTACGACGAGTACCACGGCTGCCATGTGTGTGGCTCCTGTCTACTGTGTGTGTGTGTGTTTGTGTCTGTGTCTATTGTTTTAACGGCTCTTGGGTGCCGGGGTCAGCGTTGGGGACCCGCCCCAATAGACAAGCTGCACCGTTTTGCAATTTGAGCTTGTCGACGTTGCCGGTGTTTGGTCTGGTCTCTGGTGTCTCTGGGTATCGTTCCAACCGTTGTTATGGCGTCCCTTCCATTCGGTCAGCCATGCACCCAACCAACCAACCAACCATCCAACCAACCATCCAACCATCCATCCATCCATCCATCCATCAACGTGTTTGACCTAGCCGGCAATTCGGCTTGACATGCGGGTAAATTGAATTTTCCTTGTTTCGCATTTGTTTCGACTTGTTATTTCTTTTTCCTTCTTTTTTTTTTTTTTTTTGATTTGCCTGTTGTACGAATTACTTATTCAAATTAAAAATATTTCTTGTTTTTTTTTTCCCTGCTGCCCGCTGCTGCTGCTGCTGCATGTTACCTGGTGATGACTGGTGAAAATGTACATATTTGGGTTTCCCCCTTCTCCTGCCCCGATCTCCTGCACCACTTATGGATTCTCACTATCTGCATATCGATATGGTTTCTCGTGGAGAAGCCAACACATTCCATTTATTCCGTAGGCTGGGGCTAAGCTTTTCATAAGCCAGACTGAACAGTAGTAATAATTTTGACTGCATAAAACGACAGATTAGAATATCATTTAAACAGTCAAAAATTCTCAATCCTCATCCTCATATTTCCAAAATATTTGCAAAATTTCCTGGGCGAACACTACGAGAACGAGAAGGAGAAGGAGAGCGAGATCGCATAAAGAATAATTCGCTGTGGCCCCTCGAATGGAGCAGCCCGAGGCATTAGGTTAAGCGGCAATTGCGGTCTGATTTATGGCTATTTCCGTCTCGTTGCGATTTCAGTGATTCAAGGAATTGGAAGCGCCGCAAATGAGCTCCCGGCCTGGGGGCCTGGGGGCTGACACTCTCTGGCGGTATGGGCTGCACGCACATTAATTGATTGCACTTATGGCTCTGCTTTGCTCTGCCTCTGCAGATTTGCAGCAGATACTCGCACTGGCACTGGCACTGGCAGTGGCATTCGGACTCGTACAACGCGCGGAATTCATTATTTCCGGGAACAGTGCATTTGTACGGCAATTAGTTCGCTTAAAAACATAATATACCACGCCTTCCCGGCAGACGCTGGGCCCATGTTAGTCTGCGGTGGACATAAATCATCTTACGACGAGTCCAACGCCCCAGTATCAGCATAGGCATCAGCCTCAGGCGCTAGGCGCTCAGGCCCTCAGGCCCTCAGTAGTGGAGTGGATATGGGACATAAATACCCCCAGGCATATGACCGAAAATTTCATCTAATTGAGAGACACCACAGCGACATGAGTGTGCAGGCATATGACTGTGTGGCCTGGCATGGCCTGGCCTTTGCCTCATTCAGCGAAATCTGTGGCATGTATTGAGTTCTCACAGTGGGCTTTCCCGCTCCCGTTCCGCTCGAATCTCTGAATTTTAAGATGTCGCGAGCGTAACTCATTTTTCCATGTCTCATTTGGGGCGACCCCTCGAGAATTGCTGCTCGTTTTTTTTGGTTGTTTCCAGTCGGAGTGTGGGGTCACATGCATATCATAAATTAATGCGAGTATACAAATAAATATGAGTGATAAACGGCCAGGTACCTGGTCGTAGTAGCCCTCCCCCCACCCGGTATAGATTGTACATACGGGAGAGTGGAAAGCAGCGGAGTTCTAGGCACTTGAATGGTCTAAAATAGGATCAATTATGCGGCTACTTGTGGGTGCTGCAACACCATATATTTCAGGGGAAGCTGGGAAGGCAAGTTCTTATATTTATCACCATTTAATGGGACAATTTTCCGTTGCAATTAGTTGTGACTAAAAAATGACTAAAAAAAGGGAATAATATGAGAAAAAAAAGGGAGAGAATTAGATTTTCTATGCCGATATCTGGGCGGGCAGATAGAGGAAAGATTTCCAAGAGCAAACCGTGCAAAATCAACTGACAGAATATTCGGTTCCTTAAATGGTTCCTTTGAGGGATACAAAGATTTTAAAAAGCATTGAGGTAAATGGAAATTGTGTGTCTGCCCGGCAGATCCTTTGCCGCAACTACTTATCCCATCCCCCCGTTGTCATTCGTCACCGCCTGGCCTGGCCTGGCCTGTCCTGGCCTGCCTCTGGCTGTCCTCCATTGGCGGTTTGTGTCTACGTCTACGTCTATATCTATTATGTATCTACTATATCTATGTATATATCTATGGCCGCGTTGTGGCAGGCGCTCACGCCCACTTCTTAACATGCGCTACAAGTGCTAAAAATGTTGGAAACATATTTCACAATTAATTGTCGCCCCGGCTGGCCATGCCATGCCATACTATGCCAGCAGTCGTCGTCGTTATTATCCGACTATGTACGAGTGTTGTGTGTGTGTGTGTATGTATGTATTTTGTGTATTTTTCTCTCGCATTTTTAAGTGTTGTTCGACATGGCAAAAAACAACGCGTTCGCTGCTTAATTTGTCGTAATTAATGCTTATGAATAGTTTGTACTTGTCGTATTTGTTGGGGGGTGGGGGGGCAGTGCAGGCAATAATCCTTGGCTACGAGTGTGGGCAAAGAACTCACCTGCAGCTTCACCAGTTCGGGATATTCGCTGGCCAGCTTGGCCAGCTCTTGGTAATTAGCCTTCGCCATCGAGACGATCCACTCCTTTGCCTTGGGATGTGCCAGTGTGACTTCGGGCGAATCCTTCTCCTCAATTAATTGCTGAAAGACACACAGTAACAGAAACAGAATCAGAAACAGTGAAACGGGAACCAGAGGAGGCATAAATTAATTATACATGTTTTCTGGGGGCGTAGACACCAAAGTGGTAAAAAGAAAAACAAAACAAAAAAAAAAAAAACATCGGCATGAACCGGGGAATAAAACATAGAAAGCCCATTGAGAGCATTAACGCCAACACACACACACACACACACACATAGTCGACGTCGTCGGAATACACGATTCTAATTTACACACCCATACGTTCCGTTCCGTTCCGTAACGTTCCGTAGCGTTTCCCCCTTCCTACCCACACCACAAACAAAAAAGAGTCTCTGTGTGGCATCCATTTGGGGATCTGCATATGGGGATGTTCCAGCGGCTGTGGTGTGGGTGTGTGGGGGTGTGGGGGTTGGGGTGCTGCTGCTGCTGCTACAGACATGGGTGTAAAAGCTGGATGGTAATTATGCTCACGCATCCGAATGGGCCCGGGCGCCCATTGCCGATGTTCTTTCCATAATTATGAAGGTAATAATTTTTATTTATTAGGGCACGCGCCTTGAGGCGGCAGGCAGTAAGTGCGAGCTGCTTCTTTCTTCCTTCTTCTCCTTCTCCTTCTGTTAAGTGAAATAGAGCTCGAGGATCTCAGCGAACTCCGACGAAAGTTGTTCCTCCTTCCGTTTGCCGCTCGTGTTTTTTGTTCCAGTTTCGTGATTTACTTTGCTCGTAATGAGCTCTTTCCCTCTAATGATTGGAACGCTGGGGGCGGGTGCAGATGCAGATAAAACACACATGTGTGTGTGTGTGTGTGCTGTGGGCAGGCGGGGGGGAAGACAACAACAGCCCGACATGTGTGCCCTTATATTTACGAGCCGCGGAACACATTTCGGCAACTAATTATCCCATTCGCATTATGTTCGCGAAGCAAACAAGCAGCAAGCGCAGGGCAGGGCAGGGCAGGGGAGGGGAGGAACATCATACGCATCGCGGGATTTTACCTGTACAGCCCACAACCCACTCCCACCTACCCTCCCTCTCCCCCTGTCTACTGTTTAACAGTAGCTAATAAATAGGGGGGTGGGGAAGCATTTGAATGCCGCATTTAGCCGCAGGATGCCGCAACGCGTGCGCCTGTATTTGCACGCCACTTGACTTCAGGAGAGTCTCCCATCTCCCACCTTCCATCTCCGTCTCCGTCCCTTCCACGTTTCTCCAATTACGAGTCGTGCGCGAACGCACACGGAGTAGAAAAGTAGTTCCCGTGGGCATACCATGCGGTACGGTACGGTACGGCACGGCACCCGTTCATAGTCCTCGCGCAGGTAACTTCAGTTGGTCGCCATTTGCAAATGACGAGCAGGCCGCAGCCGAGCCAGCAGCAGCCGAACGAACCCACGAACCAACGACACGGGAAAAGGACTCGTACTCGTAGTCGTAGTCGTCGTCGTACTCGTAAAGCCCCTGGCAAAGTGGCCATGTCAATGCCAAACAAAAGAACCAAACCAAACAAAACAGAACAGAACAGCACTGAGGTTCCCCATCCACCCATGGGGATGGCAGGGCAGGGTGTATTTATGTTGCCTTTTTTTGATGGCTTTGGAAAAAAGGGAAACTCGGACTCGACTCCAAACTCCAACTGGAACTCCTCCAGCTCCAGCTCCAGTTCCACTGACAGTGCCTGATCCTGGCTGTCCCCTGCCCATCCCCCTTGTCTATTTTTCTCATTTCTCCCCAATCGCTTGTTTGTTGGCCAGCTTTCTTATGTCCTGCCTGTGTGTCCCTTTATGCCCCGATATTATATCACATTGCTGGCCCGTTGTTGTCCCTTGCCGTGCCCAGGTCTGCCACTGCCACTGCCACTCTGTCTCCGTCTCTGACTGTGGCTCTGGGCCATGGCCAAAGCATGTTCCTCCTGTGTTTACGTTTGCCAGCCCGTATCTTACCTTTGGCTCCATCCCCGATGGAGAGCCACAAAATGGTCGTGTTTGCCATCCGTATGCCCGTATCCATGCGGGCCCTGTCCGTTCCGTTCCGTTCCGGACAGAATGATGGTCGTACTCCCCCGTTTGTGGGGGCGGCTCCAACTCTGGCCACTGACGCTCTTCGTTCACGTCCTCGCCGGGTAGAAATTGTTGCTGTTGTAAATTTAACCGCTTCGGGACACAGTTTCGTTGTTGTTTAACAGCAATAACAACTTTTGGTTTGTTTCCTTACATTTTTAATTGGGTCCTTTGTGGTTCTGGCCGCCCGATGGCCGCCGCCACCGCCGCCGCAGTCGCCGCTGCCGCCCGTGATGAGAATAGCTTTGCCTAACTAATTTCTATTGCTGCTTATTGGCTGTGTTAACATGTTTCACCAACTTGTTTCCCTGCAAAGGGTTTTCCAGTGCCGCCCTGATGTGGGTCGGGTCGGGTCGGGTTCGGGTTCGGGTTCGGTTCGGTGGCGGGAAGGGTAAGTTTTATATGCATATTGGGATATTGGGCATCCACTGAGGTGCCCGCCCTGCCCCGGTATTTTAATAAGAATAAATGTGGTTTGTTTGATGCTGCATTCGGGCTTGAGGGTTGCCTTTTTGCTTTTGGGGGGGTGGCAGGTTTGAAACTAAAAGCAAAACTAGGAGAAATCTCTTTAATAATTGTAACTTTCGGTGGTTGCTTAATGCCCGGCGATAATAAATCAAACTTGGCCACAAATGGTCTACATTTTCCACCGCATCAACTGATTAAAACTTCGATCAGTATTAGTCCCCCGTTTTAAGGCAGCTTGTTGGGAAATAAATTAATCAATGCTTGCTGAGTGAGCGGATTAAATGCAAAATCATCGACATAATTAAAAACGATCGAAACGAATTTAATTGATCAGCGCTGCCAGTGCCAGGGCCATCCATTTTGATGGATCTTCTCCCTGTGCTGCCGTACTCCACTTGCTGCCCAGTGTCTGGCGTTTGGCGCCTCACTGATCACGAAGAAAACTCCTCCCATTGCTGTAATGGGATCTCTGGCATAAAATTCTGACCAAGATGAGGTGGCACTTTCTTTTGGGTCTTGCTGCTGCCTGCTGCGATGATTAGTTTTCTTTTTTGACGGCATCTCCACATCCATCAAGCCTATCCCAATATTGCCTTACAACTGAATTCGGATAATTGCCTCAGGACTGTTGGCGCCGGAGCGAGAGATGATGGGAATCTTGTTAGCGAATCAATTTGTTAACATGGCTCCAATGGCATCCCACCCGCCACTCCATAGCTCGAATTGGAGCCATCATTCTGGAGTTACCTCCGTGCCGGGGAGTACTATAAATAAATAATGATTTGTGCAATGACAGCAAATCCGAATTCCCTTCTGCAAAGGTCGCCCTCTGATATTACATTTGATATTTCATAGTGCATGTATTGCCGTACATGTTGCCATGTATTTTTATATTCTGTTAAGTCCGGAAACAAGGAATACGTGAGAAAATCAAAGTTGCAACTGGCTGATACTCTCGTAGCAGATATGGAGCGGATCTCATCTCGTCTCGTGGGCTTGTCCATGTCCGAAGAGCGCCTGTACAAATAGGCACTTAAGTTGGCTCCTTCTTCATCTTGGATGTTTTAGTGGGATTTTATGGCATTTGACGTGCCGTTGACAATCTGATTTTGATGTACATCCACTGCTGCAGGAACCCAGAGCCCAAGCATCATCTTCTATGCATTTCTCAGATGGTATGGGTATGGTCATGGGTATGGGCGGGGGGGATGGCATATCATTCGTCTTTGCCGACAACTTGGATGATTTATGCTCGAGGGATATTATTTTTCAACTCTAAATTTCATGATTGACAGGTCTAAGTGGTTGACAGTTGTTTGACAACTCTGCGCAATTGTTCTCTCTTCTCTCTTCACTCTTCACTCTCCGCTCTCCGCTTTTCGCCCCTCGACACTCTGTTCGTTTGTAGCTTGTAACATTAACTAAGAAACTATGTTCCTGTTCCCGTAACGCTTGACAAATTTCCAAGGCATTTATTTGTATTTCTAAATTGGTATCTGCGTATGAACATGCTTCAAAATCAGCCACTTCATATGAGATATGAGGGGATTGTGTGGAAGGACTGGCTAGCCTGTATTTTTACTGCATGTTTTACGAGAATAACTAGAGAACAAAAAGTATGATTTTTGACCTACTTGTGGGCTGAACTTTTCATCTACACATAGTATGATAAGTATTTCCTTTTGAAGCACTTGAGGGATTTGGATATGCAAAATTTCTCTTAATATTTGTAACTCAAATGCATGATGTTATTTTTAAGATCATTTTAGTTATAAATTTCCTCTATCATTAAGTCTAATAACATTATTTTTTGCATGTGCGGCTTAAAAGTGTCGCGCGTCATGCAGTAGCAAACCTCGGTCGCTTCCTTTCTCTATAAATTTTTTTTTTTCCAAAAGATTTCAAAGTTTGTCCAGCAGAACACAGATTTATAGGTACGGGTACGGGTAGGGGTACGTGTGTGATGGAATGTACAGATTGGTGTGCACATTTTTGGCAAATAATCTTTTTTGGGGGCGGGGGTGGCCATAAAAGTAGTCAAACACAAGGCTCCGGCCCCCGGCGCCTGCTCAAGTGCCAAATGCCAAATGGCAGTGTCGAAAAGTGTCTTCGTGGATGGTGGATAGTGGCAGTTGATGGACAAAGACCAAGTTACCAAATACTAAATACACGCGAGTAGAGTACATGTGCCGTCTGCTGTCTGTTGTCTGTACTGTAGTACATGCATATACACATGTCGAGCAGCGGGCCCGAATGCGCGCGCGGTGACAATAGTCGAGCGGGAGGGAGGAGGAACGGGCGGACGACAGACAGCAGGCAGGCAAGCAAGCAAAAAATAAAAATAAAAAGTGAACGATGCAGGCGCATGTACTTTTGTGAGAGACTTACATTTATATTGTCCACTAATAAAATTAATGGATTTATTCAATTCCGAGGGTGCTGGTGGCAGTTCGTGACATGGCCTCTGAGAACCGTTGACACGGCTGACAGTTTGGGGAGCAGTCCAAGTCCAGGTCTAAGGCCCCAGCCAGCAGTTCCACATGAGGTGCCACACACATCTAGGCCTGGGACAGAATGCACTCGTCAGCTTTTGACGGGCGGCAGAGAGCAATAATTGTGGGAGCCCATAACTAGACCAGACCCAGATCTAATCTGTCTCTGATTTGTTGTGGTCCACACAGTCCACACAGTCCACACAGTCCAGGCACTTGCTTTGCATTCATGCCACATTCCGGGAGGCAGTGGAGCTGCTGCTATTACCAAACGATTCCTACATAGTTAATCAAAGCAAAACCAGGGGACAAAAAATGGGACATTTAAAGCTGTCCGTCCGAAGGTGAAGCTTTCCACAGAATCCGAAACGTTTCTCGCTGGCTGGCTGGTGGTAGTAGGCAGGAAATGGAACAAATTGTATAAACAGCGCGGCCCTAAAGCATGTGCCTGCACTTAGCACTGTTCCCGTTCCCATTCCCATTCCCTTAGCACAGTTGACCATAAAAGAAGCGGGACGCACAACACACACACACACAGTCACCCGCATGAAAAAAAAAGACGGGCTAATACGCTTTAACCGGCTCTGGGCACTCACCTTCTCTGGCTTTTTCTTGGCTGGCGGCGAAATGATCTTGGCCTCCTCCTCGGATGCCATCCGGTTGAACTTGCGCGTAGCCTCCTTCACGCTCATGGGATTCTCCGCTGCGTCCGCCTCATTGCTGGAGACTTTCTCAGCGGCGGAGCTGTCTGTGGAGGCGCCCGACGAGAAGGAGAATCTGGGTATGTTCTCCTTGTTGCCGGTCTCATCCACGGAATTGGAACGCGACACGGATCCACTGACAGCTGGCGGTGCATCATCTTCCGTTTTGGTGTCAGGCTGCCGCTCCAGACGTGCTGGATCAATGCGTTGTATGGCCGCCGTAAACTCGTCCACACACTCCCGATAGTTGTCCTGCTGTCCCTTGTGCACGGCGACGCCGGCAGGCGGCGATGTTACCATGGGCGGTGGCTTGTACGGCGGTGGCTGGCGCATCGGTGAGGCGAGACTGCCGCCGTCGAATGTGATGGAGCCACCGCCTGGACTGGAGGGTTCGGGGCCATTGTTGGCGGCGGCCACGGCCCGCTCCACCACCTCGTCGGTGGGGCACTCATTCAGGTACTTCTTGCGCAGAATTAGAAACTTTTGATTGTTTTCATTCTTGATGGTCGACAGCAGCGTCACGTAGGTCTTGAATCGCCTGCGCGCCTCATCTGGAATGCAAATTAAACAAAAATCAACGCATTGCAATTGCCGAAACTTGCTGTGTGTGTGTGTGCAACAGGTCATAGATGGAAACACAAACTCTGAGTATTTGCCCAATGACTCACTTTGGGTCTGTGGATGCGTGAGAAACTTCTTGAAATGCTTCACCAGCGCGTGATTCGTCACCTTGCACTCGTTCACCAGCATGTAATTGCGTATCTCCGCAATCGAAAGCTCTTTCGGCAGTTCCATTTCACTTGCCGCCAACACTTTTAGTTGCAATTTTTATTTTTCAATAGCAAAACACGACACAAACAAAAACACTGAGTACCAGGGACTGGCAGACATCTGTTTGTGGCCGTCATCCCTGGCCTGCAGCCATAAAAAAGGTCGCTGCTTTGGCAGCCCGACAAAACTCTTGCTGATGTGTTACTCGTGCAAAGGTTTTCTTTAAATAAAATTTAACTATTCAAACATAAAAATAATATTGTTTGAACATATAAGGTATTTAAATGAAAATAAATTAGTATCTAATCTAATCTTTCATAAACGCATTTGTTTACTTATCTTATTTTGGATATTTTAGCAAAAAAAAAAATAACAACGGAAAAGCTACAATTTTGAATTTATTGCTAAGTAATCTAAAAGTTTTATATAAAATTATATATAAAGGAAATTTGTAAAATATAGCTTTATTAATAGCATAGATTATACATTAAATGGGGATAAATATGAAAGATTAAAGGAAAAATTAAAATACGTAAATCGCAAATGCAGACTGCCGATTCTGAAGCAGATCGGATTTCACCCCCTAGCGGAGGAGATGTAAAAGGTACATGTACAACTCTACATCTAGAAAAGATTGTAGATGTAGAAAACAGATTAAAAAAATGTAAATGTAATTTTTTTTTTTTTTTTTGGTGGGGTCAGGATCACACGTTCCTTTTATTTAATATTTTCATTTGTTATTTAACTGATTAGAAAATACTTGAGCGCTTATGTGTTTCATATGCATGTAGATAGATGTAAGCAAAATAATCAACTAAAATTCCAAGCCATGTTTTTGATACATTTCAAATACAATTCCATTCCGTGTCAAGGCAGTGATGTTTGCAGCGATTTATTGTACAAAATATATGTAAATTGAAAATATCCCCAGAATTTATTCTCAAATTGGTGAGGGGGCGGCACAGGCGGATTTCTGGGGAGTTAACTTCCACCAGATGTAGCAAGTGTGTGTGGCAGTGGCAGGCAGAGAAGGGCCCTGGAGTTGGTCTGATTCCGTTCTCAATTGGCCAAATGGCTGTATGCCTGAATGCCTGTGTGTGGCAATTTGTTGAATCGACGTCATTTATCATCTGCACAGCGAGAGAGCGGGAGAGAGAGGGAGAGAGTTCTATTTGCCAAAGAAGCCACAGATACAGATACAGATACAGCCGTGCGGCGGGTTGATGTTGATGTTGATGCTGATGCTGCCGACGACGATGACAGCGACAATGGCGCATCTGGATACACAGATTGGGATTGTATCTTTCACTTGCATTTCAAGATGCAAATGTCAAGACGTGTCGTTGTCTGCACGCCGTCCCACAGGGCACCAGAGACGAGACGACTCCTCCTCGCAGATGCGAATTAATTATACCCGGCACTCGGCAGTGCAGCACAGAGCTGCTTATTGTATGCGTACGAAGGATGCTCCTCCTCCAACCCCCGCCCATAAACCATAAACTAGGAAACTGGGGATATATGCGTTTGTTCGCGACTCAATCCATCTATGTACCAAAAATGTCTGGCGTACCTGTACGTAGAATACTTTCAGTTTACAGCCTGGGCATCGCCCAGGGCGTATATCTCATAATTGTTTAATCAGGCCCATCAGCTCGGAGCAGCGCTAAGTCCTGGGGCTATGGGAATGTACGGCATGTCATTATCGCCTGCTCAAATTAAAGTAAATGCGAAGCCAAGAATCCAAGCCCCGAGCCCGATTTACGTTGTGTTGTTCTGCATTTTGTATGCAATTGTCACCGATCGCGTCGGTGAGTGGCGCCTGATAAGCGTCGCAAATTAAATAAAATACAGTTTGGTATGAAATATCTTGAGGCAGCTTCAGCTTCAGCTTCTCAGCGAATGCCACGGCGAATGCGACAAGAGAACGTCTGTCTGGCACTGGCTGCAGATTCGAGTTGCTGGGACTCCTGTGAGTCCGCATTGGTGCGGGCGAGCACTGGAAGCCATCTTGTAGTCCGACCTGTCCTGTCCTGTTCTGTCCTGTCCCTCACTGTTACCCGATGATGTCTCTGCACACACTGGTTGGCGTCAGTGGCGACTGCCCCTGCCAGCCTGCCTGCCTGCCCCTCCGACCGAAGACAGGGATAGACGGCAACGATCGTCGATAGTTTGGAACGTTTGTCTTGTCGGTCGGTGTGAGGGGGGATGATGCTGATGCTGCTGCTGCTGGGGCATAATTGGCAATTGGGGAGAGGGAATGGGAATGGCAATGGGATTGGGATTGCAACTGGGAGTGAGACTGGGAATGGGGCTTATTCACTTTTATGACTGTTTTTCCTCTCTTTTTTTTTGTTTTTGTTTTTTTTTTGGTTTTTGGTTTGCTGACTGCCGACTGCGTCTCTTATGGGTCTATGTCTATGTCTATCTGGCTCAGTCACATCGAAGTCGTGGCTGGATCTCTTCCATTTCCCAACCTGCGACTTTTATTTATTTGCTTTTTGCTTTTTTTTCCAGCTATGTTTCCTCCCGACCCCTGCAGAGTGGCGCCTGAAATTACAAGAGTGCTTGCTCCTTCTTCTTCGATGATCGGGGTGGGGGCAGCTGCTGTCAGCTGAGGATTTCCCAAACCAAACCAATCGGGCAGATTTATTGTGAGCTCAAATCGCGGGCTTGTTCAAAAGTCAAATGCTTCTTGGTAAGTGTTGCGCCCTGTGTACAATGTGTTCCAGGGCAGGCTTAAAGCTGCGCCAGCCAGCCAGCCAGAGCAGAGCAGATGTCAGGTTTCCACAGGGGCTGGGGCTGGGACTGGGACTGCCAGTAGAGAGCAGAGTAGTCCTTGGCAGCCTTTAAGTGGTCTGACAGTCATTATTGAACCATTACCAAATGAGCAGCGCGCATTATAAATGAGCACATAAAACATAAACGGTGTCGCATCGTCCGATGAGCCGTCCGAGAGCCGATTAATGCAATTTAACACCCCCCACCCCCACCCACGTGCGCGCTCTCTCACCCTCAGCCCTCAGTCCTCAGCGCTCACCCCTCAGAGTGAACCCCAACCCCTCGGGTAGTCGTCGCCCTCGTCATATGTTGCTATTTCCGATGCCGAACCCAGGACGGACGGAAGAGCGATCGCTGCTTACGGGGGGGGAATCTGTTCAGACGTGTGAGAGCCCTGAGCAGCGGCTGCTGCGGTCAAATGCTTTAACTCGCACCGGGATTTCGGCTCGTCTCGCCCGACTTAGCGCCCAACTCCCGAGTGGGATTATGTCACTTCCCTCTGACATTTGCATTTTGATTGACAAACTCATTTGGCAACTGCAGCCTGATTGGGCGCCGCCCTCCTGCCCCGTCCTTCCCAGCCTGCATATGCTGCAAGTATGTTTGCCAAACGCTTGAGAGTTTTTCAATTAAACTTACATCAGAACAACAACCCACAGTCCATTCAAGGGCTTAGGCCCAGAATGAATGCCTTACAATAAGCAGCTAAACTTTGCAGGATACTTAATCTTATTTTGGGCTACCGAAAAAAAAGGAAATACCATAAGAACTCTTTAGAATTAAATTTGATGATCCCTATATGTGTATACAGATATTTCTGGGAGTATTTCTTACGCATTTGTAGAACCAATAAAAAGATACAGCCATGTGAGAGAGAGAGAGGGGGAGAAAGGCAGCGGCAAAGGCAACATAAATAATATAAATATAATTAATAGACTAAAAGAGACAGTTAGCAGGAGAAGGAGGAGCGAAAAAGAAAACAAATCAACTTAATGTGAGATTTTGAGAAGAAATATAGATATATGTATGTAGATATGTAGATATGTATGTACATATGTACGTACAAATCCAAAAATAGGCAACTCGAGAGAATGGAAGTGCGGTGGAAATAGATAACGATCTGCTCGCCTTCTGGCTTTGCGTCTCTGACGTTAGATATTTCAGTTATAATATATGCAGCTCTGTCCCAAAGAATCAAAATTGGATCGCTATTACTACGAGTATTTCCATGGCAACGAAGAGTCTGCAATGTTCGCCCCACAAAGTCATTTACTCCTCTCCTGTTTTATGCATTTTAATCAATTAAAATAAATATTTTTGTATTGTTTATACCAAACCTAGAACCCTCTTTTTTTGGGTATTCTTCTACCCCCCCTAAATAGCCCATAATAATGCTGCGAAACTTATAACAGAAATTATATTAGTTTGGCTACAGAGAAATCCGCGCACTCAGAGTGAGACAGGGAGAGAGGAGAGAGAGAGAGATTAAACATGTCTCAATTTTACACATGTAGGTACTTACGAGTATTCGTATGAGCCAGCCAGACAGCCCAGATCAGACACTGCGCTGTAATAGTACTCGTACTATGAAGAACTCAATTATGAAACGGCGCGCGATATATTCATGTGACAATTTTTAATGTTTCCTGACAACCATTAAAGTCGAGCCCGCTGAAAATGACAATAATCAGGGAAAAACAAAAACAAAAATAAAAACAATGACAAAAGGTTGTGTTGTGTGTGTGTGTGTGTGTGTGTGCAGTGCGTATCCTGACCCTTCTCCCGGACAGGGAAACGGACACGCGGATCCAGAACCCGGGCCAAACGGCAAACGGTAAAGGCAATCGGCAACCCCTCGTCATAAAAGTAGAGGAACGGGGAAACTGAGTCCGACAGACAGCCCAGCCCAGCCCAGCCGCCAGGAGCGAGGAGTGTGTTGTGACAGTTTTGCCGTATGGCTTGTGCAAGTGAATAATAAAAATGAAAATATTTCATTTTCCATGGTTCGGATTCGGATTCGGGGTTTGGGTTCGGGCTTCGGGGTTCGGGGTTTTATGCCCTGGGCCTGCGGATTCGAATCATTGCCCGTTGCCATTTTCTGGCTATTTTGAAATTGATATATGCATAAACCGCAGTGACAGATGTTGCAATTAAAACAGCATAAAACGCGCGGTGCGGTGCGTCGCGTCGCGTCCCTCAGCCCCTTCAGCTAATGGCTGGGTGGTGTGCGGAAAATGGCAATGACGCCGCACCACCACCACCACCACCATCATCATCATCCGATCCAGCTTGGCAGGACACGGCACGGCACGGCATGGCACGGCATGGCACTATCGAGTGGTGGCGTGAAAAGTGCGCGCTGTCAGGCTGACAGGCGGACAGCTCAATTGTCAAAATAGGTTTTAAGTGGCGGCAACTGATTTGTAAGTGAAGTGCTGCAGCTCTTGGCCCAAGGATGCGATGCGATGCGATGCCCATTGGGCTGGCGCTGGCGCTGGCTGCCAGATCCATATTCAGGCCAGGCCGCATGCGATCCGCGTCCCATTCTCAGTCAGAGTCCCGTCTCACAGTCGGTCCCAGGTCCCAGTCCCACACAGAGGGTGGTCAATGTGGCGGCCGCAAATGGAAACGCCCCATGTGGTTGGCACTCGTCTGGTGTGTACCATCATGCTGACCCATTGATTGATTGCATTTGGGCTCAGCCTCAGTCCCGCCTGCCCTTGCTGGCTGGATTGCAAAAGCGCCACTCGTAAAACGCGCCACACAGCAAATATTGTACTTAACACCCGGAGGGGCACTTGGTCCCGGGCTCTCTGGCCCTCTGGCCCTCTGCATGACTTGCCTTCCCTGGAAATTAATTCACGTTTGCGCCAGCGACTGGGCCAGGGCCACTCCGAGAGACGAGGGAAACGAAGGCTGCTTTTGGTCATTTGTTGCTTTAAGCTAACACGCTGGCTCTTATTTCCCTCTCCAACCATAGTGGGTGGTACTCAGGCAGTGCCACTGCCACTGGCACCCAACCACGTGGATCTTTTTCGTTCTTTCCGTTTTACAGATTCATGAACACCCACATCCCCATACATCCCCATACATCCCCATACATCCATCCATATATCTCCGAGTGAGCGAGCGAGCGAGCTGGAGGACACGCCCAGACCTTATGGCGCAATTCCATCGTGTAAGTCGCACTTTTTGGGTTTTATAGGTTAATTTGCTTTTATTACATTATCATAAAACCAGGCAAAAAAAAAAAAGAGACAACAAACAAGCTTGACAACACACGGGACGTGGGGGCGGAGGAGACGCGCGACACCCGCAAAATCATTTGAGGTTTACCTCATGGCATCGCATCTCATCTCATCTCACATTGGACTGGACAGGGCTGGCACTGGCACTGGCACTGGAGAGGAGAGGACAGGAAAGGACCAGGACCATTTCCGAAATGCGTGCCATGGGCATGCGGCGCCATTAGTTGCCGTTTCCCGGGTTCCCAGGTTCCCAGGTTCCCTGCCACTGAATCGTAAAAAATAGATCATAAAACGGCATTCGGAATACTCGTTGCTAGTGGCTACTAAATGGCATAACTTTTTCAAATTTTTTACGAAACGAACTACCGCCAGTGGCACTCTGCCCCCTCCACTCTACACGAATGGAAAGCCATCAAAAGTTTTAGATTACCTGTGTAAAAATGGAAACTAATAGAACTGCCATCAATGGATACTCCTTGGGACTACAAATTTGTTCAAATTTTGCTATTGGGGTATATATGTATGTATATATATATATTTTATATGTACACTTTCTTGTTTCGTACACTGGGTGCCATTCATTTATTGAGAGGATCATAAATAGTTGAGGCTCTTTAGCCTGCAGGTATTTGTTTTTATTGGGGAATTAAGTCAACGCTCATTAAATACTGCCAGAGAGAGATGGAAAATAGATGAAAATTCTAGGCAAGAGAAATTATAGACTCCGAGATCCAGTGTAGATTAAAATAATTTTATAGAATTAAAACTCTATGGCAAATAGGTACCAACAATCGCATAGACAATATCTATATATGTATTTTTTAATTGTGCCTAAAACTTTGTTCTGAGCAGATACATAAGGGGTCAGTGGTAGTAAGGCAGTAAGAAGTAAATATAGAACTGAAGAAAGTTATTCCCAAAGTAGGAGGAGGTGTGTTCATGGGCAACAATCAGCTAAAGAGAATAAACACATTAATTTACATGAGATAACCATCAACAGAAGAACACGCTAACCAATCCCCAAAAGTGATGGCAGAAATGTTTCACAGATTAAAGGGAAAAAGGAACAAAGATCTGTGCACTAGCACTCGTGTGTGGCATATGAATAATGGCTTAAACGAAAGCTTAGCCAACTTGTCTTGTTTATAATCGTTCTGCAGATATTTGTATATCTTTTGTGTACGTGGAAAATGTGAGCAGAAAGTCACGCAATTCGGCGGTGATAATTACGGCCACTGGAATACAGCAGAGTGCCAATGAGTTTTGTGATCATATCAAGGGCTCCACTCCACTCCATTCCACACCACACACAAATAGGAAGATGCATGCCGTACATGGAACACTGGCGGGTATTTCGGTACACGATCGGTTAGGTCCGGAGGAGTGGAGAGGGGCGACAGAACCCAAAAACGAGAAGTCATTCGAGTTTCAAAAGTAAACAAACAAATGACTAGCCAAACAAAACAAATGGGCGTAGCCCAAACGGATTGGATTGGATTCGAATGGAATGGCATGGCATGGCATGGCATGGCATGGCATGGCATGGAATGGAATGGCCTGAAGCCGAAGACCGAGCACCGGAAAACAAGAGTAGTGTAGTGTACCGAGTGCCGAGTACCGAGTGCTACCCCTGCCTTGGAAAGAGTGAAAATAAAGAACAGTTAATGGTCGATTTTCCATTTCATTTTTGCTTTCTTTTGTTTGGTCCGAGTGGCCCGGGCCAAGGTGCGATTGTTCGCTGCCAAAGTCACACCTGTCGATGGGGAATGGGGCCGCTGAAGCGCTGACAGCACAACGGAGCTCTCTGATTGGTGGACTCTGCCGCACTTCCAGCCACCGTGGATACGAGCTGTGCCGCTTCCCCTGTCGCTGTCGCTGCAAAGAGAGAGAGAGGAGAGAGTGTTCCAGCGCAATGTATGCGTTGGAACGACACCGCCAGCTGCCACCACCAATACCACCACCACCAGTGGGACTGTTCCGAGGGCGTTGCCACACAGCCGAGACGACTTCCAGTCGCATCGCATCGGATTCTTGTTGGATTGTGTGCCCGGGGGAGCATACAGTTGTTGTCCCACTCTCGCGCCACGTCTGCTCCGGCCTGCTCCGGCCTGCAACGGAATGCGACTCTCTGGCCAGCAACGGCATTCGTGCTGGCTGGCCGGCCCTCGTCGTCTGCTCGCTCGCAACCAGTTAGTTCGTGTTCGAACGTACTAAGAGGTGCACACCGTCTGCAGTCTGGAGTGGAGTGTGCCGTCGCCTGTCGCCTGTAATCAACGTATTCCCGTTCATTGCCGCTCGCTTGCGTCGTCTCGTTATTTCGTGTGTGTGCCACAGAGCCAAAGCCAGAGCCAGAGCCAAAGCCAGTGCCGTCGCCGTCGCCGTGTTGCCTGTGGGCCCTAAGAACCCTTCAGTTGAGTTGCGTTGCGTTGCGTTGCGTTGAGTGCCCCTGCCACAATAAATAGATTCCGGTAATCCTAATGCCGAATCTGGCTAATCGGTCGGTGGGTTTTGGTGATTGTGACTGTGAACGGAGCCAGTAAATGCACTGAGTGAGCGGCATACCGCAGGGCTCCAATCGAAACAGAACTGTGAAGGGGAGCCAGTCTCCTGCCACATCGTAGTGTCAGGAGTGGACGATTGATGCTGCAGCATCAACAACAACTTTAAGAGTTATCCAGACAGTGAGCAGAGAGAGCAGGGGGAGAGAGTACTTTGCAACACCTACGAGAGGAAGTCAATCAGTGGAAATGGCTGCCTACACACAATTTGGATACGGAGGCTTCCCGTCGGGCGCTCAGGTACTTTAACTTTAATACTTTAATTAAATTTAATTTACTTTACTTTACTTTACTCTACATTACTTTACTCTACTTTACTTTACTTTATATGCTGTGTAAATGTGGTTAAATCTGAATGGAAATGGGTCTATTATCCAAATAGGATTACTCCTTTTGGTATTTGTTTTAAATTTGTCATTTGATTGGGTGTAGGGTGTAGGGGCAGTGGAAACTGTAGCTGCATTTTGGTACTTACATTTATCTGTTATTCCATCAATGATTGCTGCAAGTAGAAATGTTTTATTTACTATTGATAAATAAATTTAAAAAATATGTAACAAATTCTTAAATTACTTCAAAAAAAAAGCATAAAACTTTATGCTTTTATTGGGAAATTTAAAACAGCAATTTGAGTAAAATTAAAGGTATATAATATAGCAGTTATACGACCATAATCAGCGAGTATTTAAATATGCCAAACCAATCACAAACTAACATACATACATAGAAGTATATGTACATATGTACTACCTTGCTACACGATCAGTAATAGAAAAGAAAAAAAAACAACACCGTTTCCATTTGGTGGGAGACTCCTCCAGACACACTCGTTTCCATTTTGGACCACACGAGTCCAATTAAATGTCTGTAGGCGACCCGACGCCAGAGAGAGTGAGAAAGAGAGCGGGAGGGGGAGGGGGAGCAAAAGGAGAGCCCAACAACAAGGCAACTGACAGAGGCAATCAGAGAGGAAGTAATGGGAGGTGCCGATCGCAGCACACACTCAGGTGAAACTGTTGAAAAGTCAATAAAATTCAATTGCCGCGATCGTAAATCATAAACTTCATAACCGTAAAGTGACAGCTCAGGGCAGGCCTTGGGAATGCGCCCGAGCATGCGCGCCCGACTACGTGAGCGGGGAATCAATGAAAGCAGAAGCAGCAGAGCAGAAGCAGCGCCCAGAAGCTCCACTGCACGGTACCTACGCTCCGGGAGCAGCGGCAGCAGTTCTCAGATTCTACAACACTGATAGGGCCCATCATCCATGGCCACTGGAGGTCCTACTCGTACGCCACAGCAGCAGCAGAAGCCAGCAGCCAGCAGCCACAGCCACAACCAAAGACGAATGACTGTGGGCTGCCAGTGATTCCGTGTCGGAATGAGCGAGTGGATTGATCTACTTTACATGGCAATAGGAGGTACTGGCACTGGCACTGGCACTGCGTTTCCACTGCCAAACTGCCGATCTGCCGCTCTGCCGATCTGCCAATCTGCAGATCTGCGCCGCTCGCTCGCGGAGTGGCCCACCATGTGGCGCTTGCCGACTTACGCTATCAACTTGGTCATCTGCCAAGGCGCGGGAGGCGGAGGCGGCTTTGGGGGAGGGTCAGGTGTAACCAGAAGTGGAGCGCTGGAGCGCACTGCGTTCCTGGCCATTCTGCCCCAGCCTCCAGCCCAGAAGGAAGGGGAACGGGCAACGGGCAACGGGCAACGGAGATACAAGTCGCGATTAGATCGCTCTGCGCGCTCTGTCCGCTCTGCGTTTTGCGATTCACAGAAATTTCCGATGTGCAGTGGTAGTTGCACAGCACACATGGCCAGAGATCTTATCTGTGCGCTGTCGCCTGCCAGTCGTCTGCGTCTGCAACTGCAACTGCGATTGCGACTGCGTCTGTGGATGTGGATGTCCAGAGTCCGTTTCACATGGCCATGGCCGTGGCCCAGTGTCGTACCGCGCTGGATTCGCTGGCGCTTCCTCCAGTGGTCAGGTAAAGGCATGGGCTTTGCCCATTCTCCCGGCTTGGGGACGTTAATGTGGCTGTGGCTGTGACTGTGGCTGTGGCTCATGAATAATGCATTTGCCCAAGGAGCAGTGGAATCTGGCAGGCGCATAGAGCTCCCTATATGGTGTCGCCTATCAGATCAGTTGTCATAATTCTCATATTGTGTGAGAGTTTCTGTTCTTTCTGCTCAGGCTGTTCAGACTCTGTGTGGACTCTGGCTGGAGGCTCGGAGACTCGGAGGCAGTGCGTGCTCCATGGGAACGCCGCGGCGATTGGGCGTCCTTCAAGGCTTCGCTGCCATCGTTCGTCGCTCCACCAAAAACATTTCCCATCCATGCAATCAGAAATACAGAAATGTACAATGTATTTGCTTTTTACTAATTAAAATCACGCGGCACAACAGCAACAAAAACAAAACAAAAAATAAACCTGAATCATTCATTTCACTCAAAATTTGATAAATGGCTGTTGGTTTTTTTTTTGGTTTTGTTTTTTTACGTTTTTTCGTTGATTTTTTGTGGTTTTAATAATGTTGTGTTGCTTAGTGTAGCTCCCTCCCTCCCTCCCTCCTCCGCCTATATATAGTCAACGATATTGGCCTCGAAATTCTATTATTCGAACGTTTCCCCCCGCCACCAGCATGACTCAATATTTTCTTACTTTATTAATTATGAAAATGTTCCTCCAAGGGTTTCTTATTTCTTTTTTCTTTTTTCTTATTTTGTGGTCTGCGTCTGCGGCTCGCAAATTAAACTTATTTTGGGTTAATTGTAGGTGCTGCACTTTTTAAACGTTCGTACTACCTCCTCCTAGAGGGGATGGATCGATCGTCTGCCCAGCACAATAATTATAAAAAAAAACAAAAGGAAAAAAAAATACTTGTAGGGTTAGCATTTCGGGGTAAGTCTCGTCGTCTCTATTGTCAGATTATGTTAATGAGTGCAAATAATTATGAGTTTCGCAGCGAGCCCTGAATGTTGCACAGAATATTTCGGACCCAGTGTCGAACGTGCCACAGAAGCTGTGTAACTCACGCAGAAATTGTTGCACGGCGCATCTGACCTTTGGGGATATATATTGGCGGACCGCAGCGCACCGCATCGATTCCGTTGGCATTCGATCAATTTGTAGCTGTCCATCAGTCGGAGCATTCAACTTAATTATAGGTCCAGCGATATTCCTGCGCAGAGAGGCAGCAGCAAAATACTTTGAAATTAAGGCAGGCAGACGAGCGGACGAGCGGACGAGCGAGGCAGATTGCCCGCGGTAATTTTCAGAAGCCTTCGACGGCATGTTCCTGATGGTGTAGGGACGACGTTTCCATCTCGGTCTCTCCATCTCTCCCATCATCGTCATCAGCGTCGTCGTCGTCCGGCGGACCTATAGGCGTCGGCTGCCACACCCTCATTGATTTCTGGCATTTTATACAGCCGTTCCCCGACCGGACTCGGACTTGGAGTTGGAGTTGGGCTTGGGCTTGTGCTTGGCGCATTTTGCATATTAATTGCCAAGTGACCGGCGCATGCCATAGGCGAAGCTCTCCAAGATGGACGACATCAACGGAGTCTCAGAAAACAAAAAGAAAAAAAAGAGTCAGTTGCTGCGGCTGCTGCTGCCTGTTGGTTGCACTTGGAATCGATTTGCTGGGTAATTGATGTGGCCGCCATTGCAGGAGCTGCTACATCCATGCGCAGCTCCAGGGCAGAGAGCCATTGATTAAGGAAATATGACCGGTCGGTCGACTGATCGCCCGATCGCCCGATCGCCTGATCGCCGCGGGATTATGGATCCACGCAGCTTCTGTGCTCCTCCACGGCTGGCGCTGATTGTGTGTTAACACCATATTCGCTTACATGCTATCGTTGCATCTTGTAATGCAGGCAGAGGCTGCTCTGTCGATTTTTCGAATTAAAACTCAAATTGCGCAGCCTCCTCGCTCGCCGTCCCCACTCCCGAGATGTGTGGCTATCTCGAGACATCAATATTTATGAAGCGCTTCCCAGTAAACCAGTTAGCAAAGCTTCGTCTCGAGTTAATGTTGCAGAAAATTAGTTCGATTCGGTGTGCATCCTGTTGTAGGATCCCCATCCCTGCCCATCCCTGCCCATTCCCCATCCCAGGACATCTAATGCCCAAGCAAATTACCTGAATGTTGAGGCAGTAAAAGTAAGGCTCCAGCATAGCCATTGGCTCCTAATTAAATGCCAGGTTTGGGGCATCAAATAATATTCCCAGCACGTGTTTTCATATCTCATTCGAGGCGCTCGAAACTACCCACAATCAACGGACTAAACTGGACTGGACTGGACTGTGGCTGCTCCCAAATAAAGGTCTAAGCTGCCACTTGATTAACAGGCATTAGCTGTATGTAAGCCGGTGGCACTTCTCCACTCTGTCCCAGCAGTTATTGGGGCACGCCAGCCACCTCGACTCCTTTATAATAAGCATTTAAGATAAGAGAGAGAGAGAGAGAGAGAGAGCTAAATGCTCGAGCTAATTAAGCCGAATTGAATTTGTGTGTTTAATTTGCCAAATGGCATACCGATAAAGCCCTGCCCTGCCCTGCTCTGCACTCTGCTCTCACATCCTCATATCTCACGTCTTCTTTGTGAATCTTTTGCAGCTCCTGCCGCCAAATGCACAGGCCGCGGAGGACACTTCCCCGAATGTGAACGATGCATCGCTGGTGATGACAAACGCACCGGCGATGAGCCCAACGGGCGGTGCGGCGGACTGCCAGACGAACCAGCAGGCCACGGGCAGTGGCGATGCCTCGTCGGGTGCCCTCAGTCCCAATGCCCTTTCGCAGAACTCGCAGAATGCTGCGGCAGGATCGTCGGTGGTTGGCGGGGCGGCTGTTGCTGGTGCTGGTGGAGCCGCTGACCTGGCCACCGGGGGCTCCCTGGACGGCAACGGTGTGGGCACGACGCCCACAACGGGAAGCTCATGCTGCGAGAACGGTCGTCCCATAATGACCGATCCTGTGTCGGGGCAGACCGTCTGCTCCTGCCAATACGATTCGGCCCGACTCGCCCTCTCCAGCTACTCCCGGCTGCCGGCGGCCAGCGTTGGGGTATACGGCACGCCCTATCCCTCGACGGATCAGAACCCCTACCAGAGCATCGGAGTGGACAGCTCCGCCTTCTATTCACCGCTGGTAAGTGAAAGCCAAGAGGGCCAAGAGCCAACAGCCAACAGCCAAGAGCCAAGAGCCAACAGGGCTAAATGGATTATCTCAACATATGACTTTAATTGTGTAGTCAGTGGCTTTTGTTCCCCCCCTGTGTACGGGGAGGGGAAGGGACGGACAACGACAACGACACAGACAACGACAACAAAGACGACGATGGCTTGTCAATGCAGTCGAGTAAATCGAATTATCATTATGGCTGACTGAAGCTCAGTCAAACCTCATTTAGCTCCGCTCTGTCCGTCCCGTACCCGGGCAGGGTTTAGTTTCCTTTTGAACTGCCATCCTTTGGCCCCCATCCATCCATCCAGCCATCCATCCATCTATCTCTCTCTATCCATCTACCTAATTCATGGGCAATGCTGCCGCTGCTGCTGCCGCTGCTGCTGCCGCTGCTGCTGCTGCTGGTGGCTTCCATTGCCGATACTCGATACGTTGCATAAAGAAAGGCAAAATCATTGGAAACAAAACATATTGCCCCATGGCCTCAATTACACTCCCAGATGAGACTGAGAGAGACTCTCAGACTCTGCGTATGCATGTGTCTCGTATGTGTGGGCTAATCAAGCTTATGCGCCCTAGTCGGTACCTCGTATCCACTCCCCCACTCCCAGTTCCCAGTTCCCAGTCCGTTTGCAGTCTCCCAGAGACCGCTGAAATGTACCCGAGCCAGGCAGCCAGGCAGCCGGACAAAAAATATAAACTTGAAGCGGGTTCAGAAGCAACACGAGAGTTGGCTCAATGAAAGGCAAACACACACAGATACACACACACACAAATTGGCAACAATACACACGTACTGGTACTCGTATAACAACAACATGAACAGTATTTAGCCTTGACAAATAACCAAAGCAAAGCAAAGACTGGCCTAAAGCACAACAAAGAGTGTTTGTGTGTGTTATAGCGGGGGACATCACATCATGTTATTTAGTTATTGTGCAGGGATCTTCCCTGCTCATCGCCCTGCCACCCTCCGCACTTCCGGGGAGGGGGGGGAATGTGTCGCAACTTTGATCGCTTTGGCAATATGTCACAAATATTTACGGGCATCGTAATGCCTAAACTAGTTGCAGACCACTTCAGGGCACTAATTAATATGTAAAAAAGCGTCTAATCAACTTTGGCCGCGGTGGCTCTCTGCGGTGGCACATCAAAGAGGCAAGGCAAGGCAGCAGGCAAGAGGTAAGAGACAAGAGGCAACCCCTCTGCGAAAGAGTGATGTAACGGCGATGATGCCTGCCCCCAGGAGAAGAGAAGCAGCGGCAAATGGGGCGGACACACTGCGGCGGCAGCCACCAAAGTGTCATGTTAAATTGTTATTTACAACAACAGGAAATTCATTCCGAGTTCTCTCTCTCCCCTGCCCCCTGCCACTACTATGCTATGCTATGCTGCTGCATAACCATGTGGCAGAGTGGCAGTGTGGCAGAGAGACAGAGGCAATGTCTGTGGCTGTGCTGTGTGTGCTACCTACCTGGCCGAGTGTCGTCTTTATCGGCCCCGTCACGAAGCGCATACTTTTAATTAAGAAAATATCACTGGTCCGCCCCCCCTACCCCAATCCCTGCCCCTACCCCTACCACGATAAGATGTCATTGCTCAATTTTGTTGCGTAGTGCGGCCCGCCCACTCGGCAAGGCCCCTTGCTCCCCTCGAGGTGCTAATGCTCGATCTGAAGATCTAACACTCTCCCAGATGCACCTGACAGATAGATTGGAGGACTGTCGCGGCTCGGGCTGGGGCTGGGGCTGTTGTTCGGACTAGGGCTCCTTCTGCTAGACCATGCAGACCATGTAGATGGCGCTGATACGATACCCGCGTGTACCTGTGCCTCGATCTATGGCCAAATGACAGCTTGATAAATATATTTGTCACTCGAATGCGGCGGCATCTGTATCGGCGAATCGGTGGCGGCGGCGAGCGGCGGCGAGCGGCAGGGAGCGGAGTTAAAAATTAATAAACAACGGCATACATGATGTTAAGCAATTAAAAATGTTAATACCCTTTCATAAATCAAGAGCTCACAAAAGCTCGGGTCGACAGCAGAGCGGGGCCAACCAGATTGGGCGCTCGACTCGCTGACTCGCTGACTCGCCCAACCGCCAACTGCCAACTGCCAACTGCCGATCTGGCCAATAGTTGTCGCTCATAAATCCGGCTGTCATTTTCCGAGGGCATAAATCGCAGCACGCCACAACCGGCGGACAGGCGGACAGTGGGACAGTGGGACAAACCCACACCGACCACTCGCAAGCTCCAAAAAATTAAAATTCGAATTGAAACTTCGAACATGAGCGCTTCCATATAATAAAACAATAATCGGCGCTTTTGGCTTAGATAATATTTGAAAAAAAGGCTGCTGCCAGCCTTAAAATATGTATATGTTATTTGTTGTTGTATCTCAGTCTGTATCTGGCTATAAAATATGGCCGGCTTGAGCGTTTGCTTGTTTCATTGCAAAATATGTTGGCAAATTATAAATTCCATGTTAACAAAATTGTCAACTTCGAAAACTGTGGGAAAATACTGTTTTGGGGCTGAATCTTTAATGCTGTGACGGAGTAATATTTCTCTCTATAAAAAGTCGAGTCAAGGTCGCTCAAATATTCTCGATTATTGCAGAGCAATCCGTATGGACTGAAGGAGACGGGCTCTGGTGCGGAGATGGGCGCCTGGACATCGGCAGGCCTGCAGCCCACAACGGGATACTATTCCTACGATCCAATGTCAGCATACGGGTAAGAATAAATTGTTAATTATATTAATTTTAAATTTAAAGTAAAGTCTCTCGTTCAGGGTTCCATTTAAGGATATTTCTCGATAGTCTCATAAATTTGATAACTTTCTGCATAACAATTAAGGCAACATGCACTCATTGAGGTCTTAAATAAGAATTAATTAATTACCCCCTCAACTAATAGAAATTGAAAGCCTTTTAGTCCAAATCGAATCGGCTGGGGGCGGGTCGGGGCGGCTGCGTATCAAATGCAATTGCGCGTCCATAATTAATTACAAAATATATTTGCGAGTACTTGAAATTGATTTGAGTTTAATTGCCTTCGGTGGATGGGTGGATGGGTGGATGGCTGGATGTGGATGGCATCTCCATCGTGGCGTGGGCTCTCCCCAGGGAGAGAGGCGATAATAAAATTTGAATGCGCGAAATTATTTATTTATGATTGCTGCACAAAGAACATAGCAGTTAATTGCACGACAGAGCGCATTACGCATACACTGGCAGGAGCTCTGCAATATACATACATATATACAGAATGTGTGCAGATACATATGTGTATCTGTATCTGTATCTGTAAGATATACTCACGTGGGTGCATACGCATACCAGAATTGATACGACTATGGAAATACGGACAGACAGACAGACAGACAGACAGACAGACGGACGGACTGAGTCCGAGTGAGAGCCAGTGGCAGTGGCAGTGGCATGCAACGGCTGCGGCTTCCCGTTGGACGTGGCTTGCGTGCGGAAAGCCCATGAAATCGAGCTTGCTGCGGGACTGTAGACTGTAGACTGGGGCTGGGGGCTGCGGCTGGGGGCTGGGGCTGGGCAGAGACTGCAGCCGAGTGAATGAATGAGCGAGCGAGTGAGTGAGTTGTAAGCGCTGGCTGGAGGGGCAGCAACGGCAGCAGCAAATGAACGCCATGTTGGCCGCCATATTGGGGGCCCAGTATATGTATGTACCACATACATACATATGTATGTATGTATGTAGTACTGATGTACTGATACATGCTTAACATTATGTGCACGAGTATAGGTAGTATATATGGGTTGACAAACATTTAAGAGGGGAATGGAATGGATTGCGCTTTGCATTTGGTAGCTCATCGCCACAGATTGGCACGGGGGTGCGCAATCCAAAAGGTAGCAATTCTCACTGACTGACTGACTGACTGACTAGTGGATAGGGATGGGGTTAGTGGATGGGGGGGGGACAAGTGACAGTCAGTAATTACCGACTGACAGGCATGCCCATGTCTGCTCGGCGCTCAACTGGAGCCAATGTCATTTTGTGTGTTTGGCGTGCGGGCATTATTTTTTTAAAATGTGTGTGTTCAGGGGGGGTGGGGGCCCTGTAAATTGCAGCTACCAGATAATGGCAGCAGCAGCAGCAGTAATTGGTGGGCCCCGTCAACCGAATTGCATGTGTTCATATAAAAGCTGAAATGTAAATGTGTGTAAGCGGGCTCTAAAACTAATAGGCGGTCCGTTCGGCCAACCTCAGTGTTTTGTGGCTAAAAGCCTCGACCGGCATCAGCTCAGCGGCATCAACATGGCATCCATCCGTCTCTAACTTCGTTGCTGCACGGTGGCAGCAGCTGGGGTAGCAGCAGCAGCAAATGGTCGGGTCGGTTGTATTTGTGTGAACAAGAATGTGATTTGTTAACAAGATTATGGCCTGGCCCGCTACCAGCAGCAGCAAAAGCAGCAACAACAGAGGCAGAGGCGGCCCGGCCTGGCCAATTTCAGCCCGTGCGCAACGAACATTTTTTGTTAGCAAGTTATGCCAAAAAGAATCAGACATATGTATTTATGTATTTATCATGTACATATGTAGTAAATATGGCTGTGCTTGTGTAATTATATATGTATGTATATGGCCGCAACGAAAATAGGATGCGTGCCAATTACTGACAAATTGATGTTTGTAAGGTTGTAAAACATCAGAGAACAAAAAAGCCCACTGCAGCGTATCATTCTGCAGCTATAGCCGTACGCTGAGCGATAATAATACGCTGCTAGTACGCGAACTAGTGCTTGTATTAGGACTTGTACTAGTGCTTTTAGCCTCTCCCCATTTAATGTCTCGCGCCAAAGCATTACTGGGATTTTAAAGCACTCTCCTTGGATAAGGGACTGCACACCCCACCCACACCCCGTAATCAGGGTTGATGATTTGAGCAGCGAAAAAAAAAAAGAAGCGGAATAGCAATGAGTAGAAGGGACAGACAGACAGAAAGACAGACAGACACAGCCCCAACGAATCTACATCCAACGGGCAACGGGCAGCAGGCCAAGCTCCGTCGCCGTTCTTTATCTTGTTGTAAAATTCACCGCACAAACTGTTGATTGTGGCACCATAAAATGCCATGAAAAACGAATAAAAAATACAACAAAAAAATAGAACAAAGTGAATCAAGCAACAAACAAACAAAAAAAAGGAACGATTATTGTGGGAGTCTGGAAAAACAGAACACAGAAAAACGAACAAAACGAACGAAACGAAACGGGGAAAGACCCGAAAGTGAAATGCTCGACGAGGTCGAGAAGGAGAGCGGAAGGGCCGGATGTGCAGCGGAATACGCACTGAGGGGTGGGGGGGGCGAAGGCTGGCTGGGGTTTAATTTAGCTAGGAAATGCTTGGGGCAGGCGGCGCAGGCTGGCACCAACTCCCCCAAAACGAAGGGTGAGCGTCCGACAGGGCATAGACCATTATTGCAAAGCAAAGGCAGAGGCGAAGGGTGGCCAAAAGGCAGAGGCAGAGGCAGATGCTGCCACATCCTCGGATGGGATAAAAAACGCGATAAGTGCAGTACAGCCAGCAGCACAGCCAGGCACCCGGTTGCACCCACTTACCATATGCTCGTCCTCGTTATTGCTGGAGATGCTTTTGCGTTGCTTTTGCTCCTTTTTGTGGCCGTTTGCCTGTTTCACAACTGTGTTTTACAATACTTTGACGTTGTACTACACTGAAGGGATCCATCCGGGAAACGGAATACGGAATACCGCGAGCTGCTGCAGGGGCAGGGGGAAGTGGGAGCAACAGCGAAAAACATCAATTTGAATTTTCCGCATTTTTAATGAATCTCCGTGTTTTGCTGTCCCGATTTGCAGGGCACATTGCAATTAGAAGCGACTGCAAGAGGAGCAAGAGGAGAGAGGAGAGACGAGAGAGGCCCGCCTCTTTGTACAACAAATTACAGACACAAGACTTAAAGTTTCCATTTTAATTTATTTTCTTTTTTGCTTTGTTGTTTTGTTGTTTTGTTGTTTCGATTGCAGCTATGGGGCGAGCTATGATCTGGCTGCTCGTCGCAAGAATGCCACCCGCGAGTCCACGGCCACGCTGAAGGCCTGGCTGAACGAGCACAAGAAGAACCCCTACCCGACCAAGGGCGAGAAGATCATGCTGGCCATCATCACCAAGATGACGCTCACCCAGGTCTCCACGTGGTTCGCCAATGCCCGACGCCGCTTGAAGAAGGAGAACAAGATGACCTGGGAGCCGAAGAACCGCACCGACGATGACGACGACGCCTTGGTGTCGGACGATGAGAAGGAGAAGGAGGACCTGGAGCCCATCAAGGGCTCCCAAGGCGGCAGTTTGGCCAAAGGTAAACCCATTTCAATGTTCAGTTTTTGGCTGGGATAAGTAAACTTCACAGCTGGGATATTCTTTGTTTTGTGTGTCGCACAGATGTGACCAAAGAGGAGGACGATGCCATGGACGAGGAGCAGAAGTGCATTGGCCAGGCGAACATCCTTCGCGCTGGCTTTGGCTATCCGTCGGCTGGGCCCGGCTACCATGGTGGTGGTGGTGGTGCCGGTTCCGGTTCCGGCGGTGGCCATCCGGCTGGGTACCACCATCCGTACCACCACCAGCATCCTGCCTACTATCAGCCCCAGCAGGGCATGCTGGGCACCGCCTTTCACGGCGGAGACGCTGCCGGCGGAGGCGGAGGCGGAGGCCTGCTGGCCAACAAGCAGACGGAACACAGCGATCCAAAAAACCAATTAGGCCGGGACTGTGGCGTGCCGATTCCAGCCACCAAGCCCAAAATCTGGAGTTTGGCCGACACAGTTGGCTGCAAGACCCCACCGCCAGCATATATGGGCCAGGGGGGTCAGCTGCTGGCCCAGGCGATGCCGCCACAGCAGCAGCAGCAGCACGGGCAGCACGGACAGCATATGCATCAGCAGTTGCATCCGCAGGTGCAGCAGCAGCAGCAGCAGCAGCCACTGCAGGAGAACATGGGCATGGTGGCCAGTCCGGGACAGGCGCCGCGAGCCCATCAGCAGCAAGAGCAACAGAGCCTGCCGATGGGGAACCATCATCTATTCAACGGAACACCCTATTTACGGCCGCATACCACGGCCTACGGGGGTTTTCTAGGGGCTACGACGCAGCAGCTCCATACTACGAACAGTGCCCCGTACAACAGCAGTACGCAGCAGCAGCAGCAGCAGCCGCAGCAGCAGCAGCAGCCCAGCCAGCGGAGCAGCAGCACACACAGTTCCAGCGGCACGCATACGCCTACCATCCATACTACGGGAAATTCGAACGGAGCTATGGGCCTGCAGGCCCAGCAGGCTCCAGCAGCTCCGTCGGCACAGCAGCCGCTTCAGTTCACGGCCCATCGGCAGGGGCACCAACATCCGCACTCGCTGCAGCAGCAGCAGCAGCAGCTGCAGCAGCTGCCATCTCAGTCAACAGTGAATCCGCGGGCGATGGGGTTTCTCGAAGCCCAACCCGATACTCCACCCCAAACTCCGCCGAATATGAAAGTGTTGAGCGGAGCTTTGAGTCTCCTTCCTACCGCTTCTCAAGCCCCTATGACCGCTACTTGTCGCAGTAGCAGTAGCAGTCACAGCAGCAACATTAATGCCTTCAACTTTGGCTCCAACTATCCGATGAATTTCTCGGCTCGTCTCGGTGAGTACTCCCCCAGAGACGAGTACAGCAGCGGGAGCAGCAGCAGCAGCTCGTCCTCGCCGCAGCTGCACCGAAACGAGGCGGCCATGTTCAAGCCGCTCTTCAAGAAGTACACCAACACCAACTAAACCCACAAAAGGGCAAACTATTTTATTTACTATTTGACTAGCTGTCTGAGATGTGCTGAGCGCTGTGTACCACCACCATCAGGCTCCAGCGGGGAGGGTTCCTCCACTCAAGACAGATTTAATATAGCTACAAGTGGCCGGCGGGTTCGTGCAAAAATATAATGAATTGTGTAATATTTAATATTAAAAGCGTATATCACATTAGTTTGTATTCATCGTAAAATAACTTCAAGTTTCATTAAAGTTATGAATCGTCTTAATGAATCGTATTTAGAGTATCGGATCAAATGTTTCTCTTCAAAACTGCAATCTAAGCTAAGAATAAAACAAAACAAAAAACAAAACAAAACAAAAAACAAAACAAAACATTAAATGAATAATTGCTAAATTAGAACAATAAGATTATACAAAACTGTGATACATTTTTCATTGTCTAACAGACTTCGCACTAAACAAACAACACCTTCGTCTATATGAACACATATAATCTAAATAATTTTAAATCGTTTAATAAAATTCTTTATAATCATGAAAAATCTGTTGTGTGTACTTTTTTTGGGAATGGAAATCTGGGAAACACCAGACAGAACACTAGGAGAGATAAATGAATGGATAATCTACGATATAATTGAAGTTTGCATAAAGATTTTGCACTGCAAAGGGCGTAAGGTGTGGAACACATTTTTCTTCTTGAATAGAGAATATAAATTAATCAAAGCTGCTGTGAGTACCGGCTATAATTATCAGTAATAAATGGCATTGCAAAAACATGCCACTGATTCTGCTAATGGACGTCACTTAAAAACTTATAAAACAGCAGACAAAATTCTGCCACACCTGGTACAACACGATGGAACCGCGTAAACATTACACTAAATAATTATTGTTTTTTTTTTGTTTGCTATTCAATTTATACGTCAACAAACTCTTTTTGCTAAAACTTTGGCTAATTGCTTCACCGCCTCTAATGCATTGCAGTGGCATAATTTATGCATTTCCAATACATGTAACATGCGATACGACAGGTTGTCTCCAAAGCGATGCGAGCATGCAAAATATTACATGTAAATACCGATATTGACAATAAAAATGACAGGTTTTTTTTTTTTTTTACTGTGTAAACCAAATTCACAATTCACAATAAACATGTAATATTTTTATGCTCATTAATTAATTTCGGTCTAGACGAAAAACACGCACAAATGTCTTACATTTTAATTTTAGTTGCGCGATGTCGAAATCTGCTGGTGACAGGGCTGAGTGACATACATACATATGTATTTAATTGTTGGTTTTTGTAGCCATATACCAGATAGAATGTATATTCTGACTGTACAGAGAGGGAAGTACTTTGAGATACATTTCTTGAACCCTGAAGCTAGTCCAGCAGACAGAGTATAGGCATTTCCGATTTGGTTAGCTCCTCCGATTCTATGACTAAGCCACCCACCCACAAGTTGTATCTGTGTAAATAGGACATGTCTGTATTTGGGCTGTGACCAAGTTTTTTTCGAGTTTACGCTGCAAATTGTCAAATACGCGAAACAGCAAACAGACTTGGCATCATTGTCCATTTGTACATACATATGTACATACATATGTGCATGCACGAGTATGTGTTCGTTTAGGTACTTTCAAGTTGGCGTTTATGGTGACAACAATTTGTAGCGACTATCGGCGATTGATAAATTAACATTAAGCAGTGGCTCGATTATGCAACAAATTGCCAATTCAATTGAAATTGACAGCCGGCTGCGGCTGCGGCTGCGGCGAAGGTGTACCGGGGCGGGCGGGCGGTCAGGCCTTAAGTTTCGATGAGCCGACGACCGAATTAGCCATGGACAATGGACGATACTCGTATTTGTAAGTGCAAGTGATTAATTTGCTCTGTTGGCTTGACACAGTTTACCCATGCAGCAGCTCCCATGCACACAGATTATCCGACTGTGTATGTAAGACAGGTAGACAGTGGAGGAGGGGAAGGAACCAAAACCACATGCAGAGTGGCGCTCTTGTACTCATCTGTCGGAGGTGCTTAGGCTGCCTCCAACATACATATTTAGTAACTAATTTCTTAAACGCTTTTCTGTAGTTCTATGCTCTCCGATGCATCGGATGGTGCCCCATCAGCGGGGGCATTAGTTCCGTTTCGTTCCGTTCCCATAGTTTAGCGGAGGCCAAGTGCCTTATACGCTTTACGAGATGTTTTACAATACCTAAATGACCGACGGACGGACGGACGGACGGACGGACCACATCGACCGCAGTGGGCATAAAATTTGCCATTACATATGGGGCCAATCAGTAAGCCGGGTAAATTAATCGTATCTCATGGCATCTCGACTCATGGCATGGCACGTCGAGTGGCCCATCTCAGTCAGGTCCTTTGCTTGTGAAGCGATCTCATTTATGGGTCATAAACCATGGGATCTGCCCCAGCAGTGCTGCACAAGAGCGGTTGCTGCTGCTCCGGCTCCGTCTCCGGCTGCGGCTGCTGCTGTCGCAACCGTTTCCATTCGGTCGACATTCTCGGTATTGTTTCGGATCGGTCACCAGCGGCGAGGATATATACGACAGTTAACTTATCTTGCATCCACTTAACGTCTTGCGGCCATAAATCAATCCTATGGCCAAATGCTCGATGGCAGCCAGCAGGCGAATTAATCACTTTGAAAATTGTTACCCATTTGGAAACTTGTCGCATTTACTTTCCAGCCACAGAGATATAACCCGTTTACCCCCAGCACAGACGAGTCTCTCGCTTGCTTGCTGGCTGGCTCTCTCGGTTCCCGCTCCCCTGGCACCCAGTGGCCGCTCCGGTCCGTGTGTGGGCAATCCTTCAACACCATGTGAAAATCAAGGTAATTTATTATTGACAGTCGCAGTAGTAGGTACTATTGTGATTAGTTGCCTTCTTTATGTTAGGATCGTCATCTTCGAGGAGAAATCTCTGTCGACAGTGGTCATCGTGAAGGGCAGGGCAGGGCAGGGCAGGGGCTTCTCATACTCATACTCATATTTTGGGCATTCAATCATTGTGACGCATCACAATTCGCATCCGCTACAAGCACGCGAGTTGTCTTACATATAGATAGATATAGCTGGATGATGGCTTACTTCAAATGCAGATACTTTATGGCTTCCCCAGATGCTGTCCCCTCCCTAGTATATTTTCATGGACAACATTTTATCCCTTGCAAAAGAAAACATGTAAAATGTATGTGTTAAAGGGCCAACAGCACTTTCTCATGGCCAAAAGTTGTTCTTGAGTTCTTCAGTCTGTTTGGCCAATTAGCAGCATGCAGCAGCAGCAGAGCCCGAGAGCCTCATAGATTGAGTGCACAGGATATTTTATTAAATTTTCACAAATTTTCATATCAATCGAAAATATTCACACTCAATTATAAAATACCAAAGAACACAAATTTGCACAAAATAATTAAGGGAAAATTCCAAGGATCCGTTTGCATAAGTCCCAGCATTTTGCCGGAATAGTAGTCCCCTCCCCGTGCCCGTGCCCGTACCCGCATAGAAAAAGGGGCGTTTGAAGGAATTTTCGGTGGTGGTGGATGCTGGGCAGGGCAGGGCAGGGAGAGTGTTTCAAGACTCTACAAGAATGCAAAGTGTCATTTAAGTGAAACAAGACGAGAACAAATATACAGCATCATAGCAGACGCTGGCACTTCGAGGAGAAGAAGCCGGTTCCGTGTCTGGGGTATGGGTATGGGGCTGCACCGAAGGAAAACATGCCTTTGCCTCAGAGCCCCCGGCTTCAGCTCCAGCTCCAGCCCCCAGGCCTAGCCTAGCCCTTTTCCTGTGTGTGTGTGTGTGTGTGTGTGTGTGTGTGCAGCGGCATCCTTAACCACGCAGCTTACTTACGCAGCTTCTATAAATTATAGCTGCCGCTTGTCATGTACGGAAATCCCTGTGTCAGTGTAGCCGAGATGCCAGCCAGCCAGCCAGCCAGCAAGCAGGCAAGCAGGCTCTGCCCTTGACAGAGTCGGTGGATGGCAGGAGATGCGATGCGATGGGTTTGAGTTTGGGTTTGGTTTGTTTTCAACAAGATTAGAAACTCGTTGCAACGCACAACGCACAACGCACAAAGGCCGCCCCAGGAACAATTCGAGCAGACACATCTCGCAACTATAACAATTAATATCCTGAAATTGCATCGTGACATGAGTGTGTAGAGTGTCTATTCCGGCTGCTGCTTGCTGCTGCTGCTGCCATGCAAACGAAGGATGCACAAGGACTGTGCGCACATGGGGGCGTATACGTGATGGCGTATGCTAATTTCCCTAATGCTTCACTCGACAATGAAGCGCTTGTACTTGAGTTATAGACTCGATTCAATGAACACATCCCTGGCATTGTGTCTACCCCAGTTCTTGCTGAAAATGCAACATCCACTCGCACTACACACAATTCATTGCTTCCCATCCAAAGACTTATTCGTATGCAATTCTATTTATTAATAATGAAGAGCTGGCTACTGGGGATAGTTCTGGTAATTTAATATTTATTTATGTATTCACTCCCCAATAAACAAATAAAAGGATTATGATCGTGCCATAAAAACATACGATTCTGCATTATAGAAAACAATAGACCAGAGACCCATATGTATAGCTGATACATACATATGTACATGCGATTTGTCACTGTATTCCATTGCATAATTAATTACAGCCAACCATAGACATTTCATCATCATCTATTACAATCCACACGCCGCGGCTTAAAGTCATATTTAATGGACGTGTATTGCTTGCGATCAATCATGACCGTACCTCTGTCTGTATGTCTGTCCATCTGTCTGTCGCAGACATTTAGAGAAATGAAGAATTAAATAAAAAAAAAACTAAAACGCCCACAATATGGGGGACGGGACCAATGACCACCTTTGTCACAGCAACAGATTATACTTGACAACGGCAACGTACCCCGGTACGGTACACCGACTCGACTCGAGTCGAGTCGCGTAACAAATGTATATTTAGACAACGGTTGTCGATAAGACAAGTTAAAATAATTATGACCATTAGGCCACACATTAGGCCCGAGGCCCTAGGCCCTGGGCCCTGGGCCCTGGTGTTTGGTCTATGATCTTTCGGATGTGTCACTGATCACACGCACCTTGAGTGTGTTACGTACACAAATGGCTGAGACTTGAGAGTGCATTTGTCAGGTTGGGAGTTCTTCCATAATACTTTTGATCGTTTACTGAACTTTGAAATGGGATCTTTACGAGCATTGTGGCACATACCGGACCGGAAACACCAATGTGAAATTTAATTAATTATGCGGGACTTTCGATTTACATATGTAATGTGCAATATGTAGAATTTCCCACAGCTTAATGAGAAAG